GTTTACTAGGGAATCCTTGAAAGAATAGTGTGCACCCCCTCCCAAGGTTGTAAAAGAAAAATATTATGAGCATTCTGTTCCTTCAGTTGTAAACTTCTTACTTAATCTACACAAATTAGAGAACAGAGTCTCTCCATTTTTAAAACCGTGAGATACTATCTTCCAAACCTATTTATAGGGGGTGATTGCTGCTAATTCCTCCTCCATTTGCAGGTCTTCAGACTACATCCTCTACTATACCCAAAGATCTCCTAATTCCAAATCAATAGGATGGGTAAAGAGGAAATGGAAAAAAACAAAAAATGGAGCAAAATTAACAGTTGGTGAATATACTCTATTTATCAATTCAAGAAAAGCTAGGAACCAAAATGTAACCATAAAAATGTCACCATCTGTTTAACCTGCGTCATTGTGGCTTCAGTGGTGGCATTTTAGTGTGAATGATTGAGTCCTACCAATCCCATACAGCCTTCTCCACTCCAGCCTGTTCTCCATATATATTATGTGCTGAACTGGAACTCTCACCAGCTCCCAATATATTGGTGTGTGTGTGTGTGTGCCAGGGTGAGGAATCCATTTTAACTGGTTTGCAGATTGCTGTAAAAGAAATTCAGTATAGAGAAGGGAAAACCATTGCAGGTATCAATTGATCTGTGTCTGAGGCACAGTCCATGGCCATCAGTGCCTTTTGAGCCAGGCAGCCCTGAATGAAGATTCGTGAAATCGATACAGACTGTGCAGAGAATCAACATCCTTCATTCTAGGAATCCATAACTCAGATGCTTTAAGGTAAGGGTCAGGTCTGAAGGAATGAAGGATACTAAACTGTAAGCTAAAAGCCTGTCACTTTAAGGTCTTCTGGATTCTGCATAGTGAACTGCCATTTTTAGTCTTCACTGAGAACAAACTGTTCCTTTGAGGTTGTCTTCCTTCATCACTGCCCATGGCAGATGTTTAGTGCAGCACTGGCTCTTTCACTTCTGCAGCAGAATAAATGAGAGAATACCCATATTGTCCTACCTTAGGTTGGTCCCCACTGGAACTGTTAGGTCTAAGATGGTAAAGACACTCTCAAGTCAAGCTCAGCTTGAGAACTATATTCATGCAGTTTTCTTGAGAGTGGTTCACCACTGCCTTTTTTTAGGATTTTTTTTTTCAGATTATTAGTTACCAACTTGCAAAATTTCCAGTAAAAATGGCCTTTGAAGAAGTCTGCTATATACATGCTGTTTCTCACACTGAAGCACATATTATTCACTCTTGAAATTAAAGGTTTTTCTACTCCACCCTATTCTTATCCATGCAATCTCACATATATCTACTTGGCAATAAATTCCATTTAAACCAGTTAACTGGAATGTTAAGCCACCTCTCCATTTGCATCAGTCACTTCTTTCCTCTTGGTCACTATGAAAACTGCTGGTGGTGAAAGAATTATCCAGACTGTTTTCTGGAAGCCCAAATTGAATTTTTTCATACCACTTGTCATCCATGTCGGTATTTTGCAGAAGAATCCAAATTTCAGCTTGTGTTCAGCAAGGAAGTATTGCTGGATATAAACATTGTTTGCTGTACAAGGGATGAAATGGCAGAAGAGAATGATCTAACCCAGTACATGTAAACATCTCAGTTTCACCTATGTACCAATTAAGTTTATGGAGCAACTATTTATTAGTATGGTTAGATCTCATTGACAATCATGTAAAATTAGATTCCATAAATGTGCTAGATGATCCAATGTCAATATTCTTTACCTTGAAAAAACTTAGTTGACTAGTTGTTGTAAGCTCATCATCTAGGTTTGTCTCTGCTATTTGTTCAATCGGAGTTTTTAAAAAGTCAGGTGAATAATTATTTTTGCTCCACTCCCAACTATGTTTAAGTGATCTGATGCCTGATTAATGAGAAATGGATGGTAGAGATCAAAGTGTTTCATCTGCACTTCTTTATGTGATAACCACAACTGAGGCCTTATACAAACCCAAACTGTTACTTATTGGATTTTTGGTCTTAAAAAGAAAATGCATCAGCTGAAGTGCACATAATGTTTAGCCGTCTATTTTTCTGAGCTCATAGTTGCATTCGTTCTCTTCTCCATATTCCCAAAATTCTTTTTGGCCCTGGGCTGGCTATTTTCAGAAACAAAATGCTAAATTGTATGGGCCTGTAAGCTACTACTACATGGAGCTGAGGTTGTTCTTGTTTTACCCTGCAAGCTAAAAAGATAAGCTATTTAAAATTAAATTTCCCTGCTAATGGGATAGATATTAAAATACAGCTATTAAAAATAAGGGTAGGTCTGTTTTGTGTTTCACAGCAATGGAACAAACTATCCACATCTTTAAGTTAGGGGAATCAATTTTCTCTCTTAAAGCTGCTCTACAGGACTATCCCACTCAGGGTCAAACATTCAGATTTCAGTATATTCAAGATCAAAACTAAATTACAAGATTGCATTTTAGGAACATTCCTTTTATACCTCAAAATAGCTTCTGGCAAAGCTTCTCAAAAAATTATATCATCCACAGATGTCTGTTGGAAACCACAATGATGTTCTTTGCATCATGATGCAAATGTCATCCAGTACATAATTTGCATTATTTGGGTGATGATGTCACAAAGTATATGGCATCACTACTTCCTTCCCTCAACATCTGTAAGCCTATCTTAGCTGTTTAAATCAATCAACAATGAGTGTGTTGTCTCAAAAGATACAGGGGTCTGAGAAATAGTCCATTAGGTTTGGACAATGTCCCATTATGTCCTTAAATGGAATCCCTGGGTGTTCCCAGATAAATAGCTGAAAGAGTAAACAATCAAAAAGTACTGTGTGAAGTAGTTCCATCTTTTCCTTCCTAATGGATTTTCTCTGAAAGGAATTGACAAAAGGAAAATGGGTAAGGACTACAAATGGAGAACACTGCTACTTAGATCCTGTGTAAAATGTTGTGAGTAAAGCAGAGTTATTATGCAATAAAAGTAATATCTAGAAACCTGAAATCAATAAGCTGCGACATTTTGCATCTTCTTTGAGTGAAAAAGCCTTATCTCTCTCAAAACCTGGCAACATGACAAAAGTGAAGTGCTTCCAAAAAATGTATTTGGCAATTTGTATAGAGATTGTTGATACTGAGTTGTACCTTGGGGGTTTTATATTGTTAAAGAGGAAATCTTAGGAGAAATTGGGCAGAAAAGGCACTTTGGATCTGAAGACACAAGCCAACACTTAGACTTCCATTTCAGCAGGCTCCAACCCAGCCGCATTCACTGGGGAAAATTAAGAAGAAAACTTAATAATGGGATTTGCTAGTCTCCATTTGAACAGCAGATGCTTCCTCCTTTTCTTATTAATAACAACCATTGCTGGGGTAAACTCTAAAATGATCTTAAATATGGATGCAGGAAAGTCCTTTGTTACAACCTCTAATTTCACGTGCATTTAGTTAAAAAAAAATCTACCAAACTTTCATTTAAGATAACTGAACCACTGTACAAAACACAATTAAAAAGCCCCTTTTATCATGCCAAACTCATTAACAGTAGGTACTGAAACCTCCTTTTTATTCAGTGCCTTTCCAGTCACATCTCCTGGCTCCAAAAAATGATAGCAGGGTCTTTCTGCCTAAAAACCCATACATCTATAATGAGGGGGGAAAGGCATATCTTAAACTGTGCCCTATACGAGAAAGGAATTTGGGAGGGATCACTCATTCAAAGGAATACTCATTCCCTTTTATTTATCTGATTCTTTGGATTAAGAGCATTATAGGATTAGGTGTACAAATCTCAGGTACAATTTTCCTGACTGCAAATCTCTCTGAAATGTATCACCCAGGAAGGGAAAGAAAGAGCAACAGAACTCTGAAATGACAAAGGAGGGAAGGATACTGGTTGAAATGGGAAGGGGATGCTGATAGGATACAGCAGTGGTGGAAAACCAAAAGGCCTTAGCAGGGCAACAATTCTTGGGGGCAGTTTGTTCATTAGAAGCTGTCTCTGAATATATGAATAAAGTAACAGATATTGTGGGAGACTCTCCTGCATTATTTGCAGCAGCAGCACCATAACAGTGTGTTACATGATCACGCACCACG